ATCAATTGTGGACCGATTTTCAAAATTCTTTTTTTGTTCGATAGGGTACACTTCTGAGGTGGTCCCATTGTCACCAAGTCAGGATCTGATGATGGGATCCTAGGGAAATCGACTGCAACCCTCAAATTTTATAGGCACGTATATCGTTTTTCAAACATTTTCTTAAGTTATTCAAGTATTTGCTCATGGAAATCATCATCTCAAATTCATGAGCTGATGATAGAAAGTAAAACTCCTTAATGCTTAGGAGTTGGAGGTAATTCAATTTAATTTTATAGATAAGTATAGTTTCTAAAGTTATTCAAGTGTTTGCATCAGATAGCCATCATCTCATCACAATGAACTGGTCATGGTAGGTACAACTCCTTTACGCTTAGGAGTTGGAGGATAATTCTTTAAATATTATAGGTACAAATAGCCTAACAGTTGTATTCTTTCATGTTTTTAAGGTGGGCTGACGGTTTAAGGTCTTTTTAGGTTGCCGATATGGTAACCTGTATTTTGTAGGGAATATTATTTTACACTTGACATTAAGAATATACTGCCTACCTTCAGTGGTAACACCAAGGTAATAATTAGTTAACTAAAAAGCAAGAAATAAGTTAATTTTTATAAAAAAAAATAAAACCGACTCCAAAAAACATACACTAAAAAGTAGAAAAATAATCACTAATTACTTATTTATTAGGACGAATTAATATTTATGTATACCATGATTGATACTTTTGGAGTCGGTGCCAAGATTATGAAACGTGTGAAGTTTGCCTGCACCGACTCCAAAAGTATCAATCATGGTATACATAAATATTAATTCGTCCTAATAAATAAGTAATTAGTGATTATTTTTCTACTTTTTAGTGTATGTTTTTTGGAGTCGGTTTTATTTTTTTTTATAAAAATTATTGAAAGTCCGCGTTGGCTTCGAAAAGGGCAACATAGGCCTTAGAGAATTAAAATGTAGGCGTATCCTTTTAGACTTTTCTTAGCATTTTTACAGCAAGTGCGAACCTACTATTGTTTAGGGCAAATGGTCATATCCACTCAGTAAATACTTCCTCTCCAGCCTTGAAGAGTCCCAGAGGAAATCAAGCAGCCAGTTTCAGCGCCGTGACGTCAGTAACGTTTTGTGTAGGCAGGAATGTATGATGTACCAAGTGAAAAATCTAAGAAGATAAGTACCTACACTTCAAAAAAAATATGTATTTCCTATCTGCAGGTTCTATTAATGTGGTTTTAGTAGTAGCTGAAGTTTCTTTTCAATATTTAATGGGCTGTATTTCTACAACAACGTTATTAGAAGTGATGTAAAGGCAAAGTATGCAGTCACTAATATTTATAACAAAAAAATTCCACACATGAGACGCGATGGTTGTGAGCAAAGTAAATAAACATACAATATTCAAAATAAATTTAATTGTCTCTCTTCATACTCAACATGTCGCGGACGAATCTGGCTCCAGCCTTAATGCCTTCGAAAGTCTCAAATCCAGCTTGCTCAATAAACGCGGGATCAACTAGAAAACCCACTACAGTAGTATGTCCATCGAATGCTGGCAATTCATAAGTGTAAGACAAAGGAATTCCTGCCCCAGCTTGGGCGTAATCACTGGACCCACCAGATGCGGTGTATCTTAAAACGTGAACGATATTTCCTACTTGATAATTAGGTTTGGAAGGCCACTTAACTCTGTCGATAGCTTGAGCCATGTTAACACCGACGACGTTAAGAGCGAGAGCATTGGGAGGGAGCTGACCAGTTCCGAAGCCAAATAAGACCATGCTGCCGAAGCTGTGGATGTCGATAAACAGCTCGATGCGGTCAGCGTGCTCTTCAAGGATGCGTCTGATGTTGTCAGTCTCAGGTTCGGAGAAGGGTCCAGCGCCGTGGAAGGTGTCAAAGCACCAGCTATTACTGGAAGCTGTGCCCCACCACGCGTCAAAGTTCCTGTTCAAGTCGACTCCCATGCAGAAGGAGCTGATGCCCTCGCGGCGGTTTTTACGCCAGAAACGATCCTGGAAAGTAATATTCGATCAAAATAAAAAAAATCTTTTTCTATAAGAATCAGGTATTTCAATTCTTTGTGAATTTTATTTACTGAAAAAATAATATAGGTAAAAATAATATGTAAAGTTTATTTATCCAATAGATCATACTAAAGGACTCCTGAATCCTACGCCTACGGTACTTAATAAATGTGATGATGGTGATGGTGAAAACAGGTGCAGCTAAAAGAATTAAATGCGTCATCCAAATAAGCTCCAAATATATGTTTGGAATACAAACATTTTTGCTTAGTTTAGGTATACTACCTTAATTAACATAATTATTGTTACTAACCAAATAATTTCATAGTCCCATTTAAGTTTCTTGTATTTAGGCTAAGTTTTTATTCAATTTTATCTTATCTTAAAATTAGGAAAATTTTAAAACTTACGCTATCGTGACTGTGTTCGTATCCATCAGGGTTGGCAATGGGCAGAATGATCCAGTCCAGGTCATTGACCAGGTCAGAGTCAGTGACGTCGATGACCAGTTTCTCAATGGCATAAAGTGTTGCTGGTAGGGTGACCCACTCACGGGCGTGGAGTAGGGACATCAGGAAAATTACTGGCTTTCTTCTGTCCTGAAAGACAAGTTTTAAAAATTAAATTTCTATTTTCATCCACCCAATCATTATAAGTTACTCGTAGTTCTATATTTTGGCGACTACGTGGTATTCTGATATCTTGTATTTCGCCAGTAGCCAATTTGCCATAAGATGAATTTTGCCACTTATGACAGATTCAGTTGAAGAAATGTTAAAGTATGGATTTGAACTTCGGTTGTCCTAAATTCCAAAACATTAACTAAAGTCGCACGTACTTTTTATCGAATAGCCGATAACTTATCATGATTGAATGCCCTTTCAATTTATAAGTTACCTCAAAGTTGGTGGTGGAAATTTTCAGGTACTTCATGTCACGGCCCAATAAGCTACTTCCAGCAGATTCTACTTTCACCAGATTGGGGTAGGCATTGCCCAATCTGACGAGGTAGTCGTCGACCTGAAAAAGTTAAATAAGTTTTAATTATTAAAGATGACGGATTAGCAAGCTGAAGTGGCAATGGGCCTAAGGCACATAGTACGCAGAACTGACGGTTGATGGGGCAGTAAGACTCTGGAGTGGAGGCCATGTACCGGAAAGCATAACGTGAGATGTGTCTACCCACAAGGTAAACCGACGACCTTATAAAGCAGGTGAAGCACAAAGCAGGAAGGTGCTGAATGCAGGCTGTCACTAACCGGTCAATATGGAAATAATTGATGAAGGTGTCTGAAATTCAAAATAGAAGTAGATTGGGAAACAAGAAGAAACTTACCACTTGGTATCTGTGAATTTCATCGTATGGTAAAGCCAATCTGGAACTGGACCTGTTGCTACGCTTTGACGCAGCATTAGCCAGTAACTTGTCTTCCAGTTCCAACTGCCTAAATAAAACAAATTAAATTTAACTTTCAGTGAAATGGTCAATGTCTCTATTGACAGAATATTCTTTTGATCACACGTTTTTCATTCTTACTTTCATTTAATATTTTTTTTAGTCTAGTTTCAGGGTTCCAGTTTTTTATATTGTTTAACCAAAGAACAATCATTGGTGAATACGACTCTTTCAAATGCATTCTTTCGGTAAATCAATTTTTAACTTTTATACTTACTCTCTTACGTTTGCTACTTTGATGTTGTAGTCCACATCCATAGATGCCAGGAGTTCCTCAAAATGAGACTTCAGCTCTTTGGAGACGAGGATCTGACCTGGTTTTTCAGTGTGTCCGTAGACAAACACTTGGATAGGGATCTGGTTTTCCAGTTCATGGATGAATTTAGTCTGCTCAGCATTCTTCACGAAGACTTCGTAAAGAGAGTGTCTGAAAGATTGTGGATGTTAGAAAATCTGAAGCATGTGTTTTATAAGTTGAGAGAACATGTTAAGCCCTTGGTCACTCTTTACTTTAGTAACTTTTGAATACAAAATGTTAATTTATTAACCCTTCGTATTGTTCATGTTTAGCACACACCACATAAAATATGACACAGAATAACAAAACACTCTTTAAAAGGTTGGCCATGTTGCTTAGGCCAAAATTAATATACCAAATGAGTATTAAGAGTGCTGTTTAAACCTTTTAATACTATTTTGATAACGGAAACCATCAATCTTCTTTATCCACAATTTGGTAATTTGTTGATAAATTATTACGAAATCATCTTTATGAAAAACCCATTGGAGAATTTAAAAATATACACATTAAACATGTCAATCAAAAAACCTAATCTAGATTAATATTATTCAAAGATAGGGAAAAATACAAGTCCAGCGCAAACGGATTTAGCGGTAAAATTTGATATTTTATTCAGTGCTGTATATTTACTCTACCTACTCAAGCTAATGTTTAATGTTTGGTAAACATTTTTACAACAGGAACTGCAAAGATTTAAATAATCGAGTCTGTAGTAATCACAATGCCACGAATGTCGTAAGAGGCGACTTAGGGACTACACATCAAACAGAGAACGGGCAGCAGCGCTCTAAGAAAAACATCAATTTTTTTAACTGCTATCTCCAACCCGCCTGCCAAGCGTGGGGATTACGGCAAAACCCTCCACTATAGTAGAGTCAAAAAAGTCAAAATTTCTTTATTTGTTTAGACTAATAAATAGTTCTTACAAATCGTCATTTTGCTCTTAAGGAGCCTCTACATGTCTCATAATCTTTTTACGGACTTTTTACAGAGGATGCTCATAGTCCAGCAGTGGACTGTAAAGGGCTGTTGATGATGATGATAATGATGTAGTAATCAAGTAAAATGACCAAAATCAAATAACAAATCCCAATATTTGCTGTATTGGAAATAATTGGTTTTTCTAAATTTTAGTCATTGATGTAAAATATTATGAAGTTGCAATTCGGAAACAGTGGAGGGAAGCCAAATGAGTGGGTAAGTAAATTAAAAACACAATTTATGCAATCTAAAAATTCAATTTATTTATCGTCTTTCCTCATACTCAACATGTCACGAACAAACCTGGCTCCAGACTTAATGCCTTCAAAAGTCTCGAATCCAGCTTGTTCTATAAAATCAGGATCAACAAAGAAACCAAATAAACCGGTATCTCCATTGAAAGCTGGTAACTCAAAAGTATATGATAGAGGAATTCCTGCTTCGACGTGAGCATAATCACAGGATCCACCCGATGCTCGATATCCTAAAACATGGAAGATATTTCCAACGACATAGTTAGGTTTGGAGGGCCACTTCACCCTGTCGATAGCTTGGGCCATGTTAACACCTACGACAGCAAGACTGAGTGCATTGGGGGAAAGTTCGCCAATCCCGTAGCCGAATAAGACCATGCTGCCAAAACTGTGGATGTCGATGAATAACTCAATGCGATCAGCGTGCTCGTCAAGAATGCGTTTGATGTTTTGAGTCTCTGGCTCGGAGAAGGGTCCAGTGCCGTGGTATTCGTCTGAGCAGATATTGCTGCTGGAAGCTGTTCCCCACCAGACGTCGAAGTTTCTGTTCAAGTCAACACCCATGCACAAGATGCCGATGCCCTCGCGGCGGTTTTTACGCCAGAAACGATCCTGGAAATAATCGATCGAAATATATTAAATCTTTTTCTTTGAGAATCAGGTACTTCAATTCCTTGTTAATTGTATTTGCTAAGAAAACATTTTAATAATTATAAGATTTTAAGTTTTTTTATTGACTAGACTAACGGAGTCCTGAATCCTACGCCTACGGTATTTTAAGAAGGTAAGGAAAATAGGCGCAGCTAAAAGGAACAAATGCGTTATTTAAATAAGCTCCAAATTGATTCCAAATATCTCATCTTTTTGGAATACAATTAGTAAAATTTGAAAACTTACACTATCATGACTGTGTTCATATCCATCAGGGTTTGCAATGGGCAAAATGATCCAGTCCATGTCATTGATCAGATCTGAGTCAGTAACGTCGATGACCAGCTTCTCAATGGCATATAGTGTTGCTGGGAGGGTGACCCACTCACGGGCGTGGAGTAGTGACATCAGGAAAATTACTGGCTTTCTTCTGTCCTGCAAGATAAGTTTTAAAAATTTGGATCTTCATCAATTTGTATTTTCATCAACCTCATCATTATAAGTTACTTCTTTATTTTGACTACTTTGTGGTATTATATCTTTAATTTCGCCACTGGCCTATTAAAATTTGTAATAAGATGAATTATCATGCCACATTTTAATCAGTTGAAAAAAATTAAGTACGTAATTAAACTTCGGTTGTCTGAAATTTAATCATTAACTAAAGTCGCACGTCCTTCTTTCAATTAGACGATAAACTTATCATGATTGATTGATATTTAAGCCCTTTTAATACAAGTTACCTCAAAGTTGGTGGTGGAAATTTTCAGGTACTTCATGTCGCGGCCCAATAAGCTACTTCCGGCAGATTCAACTTTCACCAGATTGGGGTAGGCATTGCCCAATCTGACGAGGTACTCGTCGACCTGAAAAAGTTAAACAATTTTAAATTATTAAAGATGACGGATTAGCAAGCCGAAGTGGCAATGGGCCTAAGGCACATAGTACGCAGAACTGACGGTTGATGGGGCAGTAAGATTCTGGGGTCCACCCCAACGAAAGCGCAACGTGAGATGTGTCCATCCACTCGCAAGGTGGACTGACGACCTCATAAAGCAGGCGAAGCATAAAGGAAGGAAATGAAGGTGCTGAATGTAGGCTGCCACCAACCGGTAAATATGGAATCATTAAGAAAGTTCTATGTTCAGAAGTGGGCGATTTGTGACTGAATGATTAAGATAACAAAAGATGCACTCGTTCATAATTAAAGGAATATTTGGAAATAATGAAGAAACTTACGACTTGGTATCTGTGAATTTCATCATACGGCAAAGCCAGTCTAGAGCTGGTTCTGTTGCTACGCTTGGACGCAGCATTAGCCTGTAACGTGTCTTCCAGTTCCAACTGCCTAAATAAAACAAATAAAATTTAACTTTCAGTGAAATGGTCAATGTCTCTATTAATTAACACAATATTCCTTTGATCACACGTTTAAGGGCATTCTTACTTTCATTTGTTTTTTTTTAAGTCAAGTTTAGTTTCTGGATTCCAGTTTTTTATGTTGTTTAACCAAAGAACAATAATTGGTAAATACGACTCTTTCAAATGCAATCTTTCGGTAAATCTATTTAACTTTTACACTTACTCTCTTATGTTTGCAACTTTCATGCTGTACTCCACATCCATAGATGCCAGGAGTTTCTCAAAATATGACTTCAGCTCTTTGGAGACGAGGATTTGACCTGGTTTTTCAGTGTGTCCGTAGACAAACACCTGGATAGGGAGCTGGTTTTCCAGTTCATGGACGAATTTAGTCTGCTCAGCATTCTTCACGAAGACTTCATAAAGGGTGTGTCTGAAAGATGGTGACTGGTAAAAAGTCTGAGAGGGCATGTTAAGCCTTTTAGTACGAGAGCCCACGACCAAAACCATGTCTCATAGCAATACGGCTAAAACCCTATAAAATCGTTAGATTGTATGATTCTGAACCCGACTAGGTGTGTAGTAATGGTCGAAAGTGTAGCAACTGCGTGGGAGGCCATTTCTGCTGTTTCAAAAAAAAAGACAGTCGGTATTATAGCATTACGTCTGATAGTGGAAATGTACATAGATTTTATAATTGTATTACGAAAAAGTTTGTTTTCAGACATTTTGCGCGTAGCATTTAGCCTGAGCGCATTTTTGAAAATGTCAACAAATTTAGCCGACCTGTATCATAGCAATACGAATTTTTTTTTTTCAACTTTTCGTATTGCTGCCATGATTACCAAAAACCTGTTTTCAGACACTTTAAGTGTAGCATTCAACTTCATCCCAGTTTCCTTTTGTGCGATTTATTTCAGACCTTCAACTTCAATGTTACGGTTTCGGGTAAATTCTTTGTTAATTATCATCTAATAAATTCAGGGTCGCAACGTATTCATTGGTTTGTAACAGAAAATTCAGGATGCCTCAATACGATTTTTTAAATGATTATCTGAGTATCGAAAAGTTGTCTGATAGAGAAGGTGCTACACTTAATTTGTCTGATATAAATTTTTTGCACATGTGGACAACTTATTTTATCATGCATGTCCAACAATTTTCAGACATCTTGCTATGATATCGATCGGTAAAATTTGTTAACATTTTCAAAACGGTCTCAAAAAATGCGTTCACATTTTCAACCGACTTCAAAAAAGGAGGAGGTTCTCAATTCGACCCGTATGTTTTTTTTTTTTTTTCTATGTTTGTTACGCGATAACTCCGCCAATTATGAACCGATTTGAACAAATCTTTTTTCGGCGTATAGGTAATACCTCAAGGGTGGTCCCATTTAAATTTAATAATAAAAAAAAACACCCCCAAGGGTGGAAAATTGGGGATGAACTTTTTTATACGCAATATCTCCGCCGATTATGAACCAATTTTTTTTGGTCTCAGTGTACTGCCTACCTTCAGTGGTAACATCAAGGTAATAATTAGTTAACTAAAAAGCAAGAAATAAGTAAAATTTTATAAAAAAAAATAAAACCGACTCCAAAAAACCTACACTAAAACGTAGAAAAATAATTACTAATTACCTACTTATTTATTAGGACGAATTATTAATATTTATGTAGGTATACCATGATTGATACTTCTGGAGTCGGTGCCAAGATTATGAAACATGTAAAGTTTGCCTGCACTGTTTTGTTCGCATTAAATAACCAACATTTACTAATAAAAAATATTTTCAGACGTATTGCTATGAGACATTTTATGTGTCTCATTTTTAATTTTTTTAAGTGATTTTACGGGTTTGCGCTACACCACTAATGTCTGAAAAATATGTTTCCGGTATCTCAGAACTATCATTCAACTACAGTCTGCAAATCAGACATATTGCTATGATGCAGTTCGGTCTAAATGCTTTGACAATTTTGAAAATTCGGTCAGATCAAACGCTACGCGGAAAATGTCTGATATTGGTATTTTCGAGTTCAGGATAATCGTATCTATCGATTTGATGCGGTTTTGCTATGAGACAAAAATTTTGGTAGTGGGCTCTCGTACTATTTGGTCACTCTTAACAGATGCCTTTGTTATTCACTTTTATTTCAATACTAGCGTCCGCCCGCGACTTCATACGCGTGGATCCCGTTTTACCCCGTTCATCTATCTTACGCGGTTTAGATTTTTTTATACAAATGTTTTTTCCTCTTACTCCCGTTCCCGTGGGAATTTTGCAATACCCTGTTGTAACTAAGCTTTAAGTTTTTAAGGTACCTGCATGCCAATATTAAAGCGACTAACGTAAGCGGTTTAGATTTTTCATACAAAAAGATTTTTCCACCTGTTCCCGTTCCCGTGGGAATTCCTAAGTATACTAAACCTGCCCAGGAGTACCTACGCAGAATAAATGTACCAAATTTGTTAAAATCCGTCTAGTAGTTTTTGTTTCTATAAGGAACATACAGACAGACAAAAATTTTACTAATTGAATTTTTGGCATCAGTATTGATCACAAAATCACCCCCTAAAAGTTGTTTTGAAAATATATTTCATGTACAGAATTGATCTCTGTACAGATTTTTTATGAGTATCGATAAAATATGAACTATTTTTACCCTTCATATTGTTCATGTTTAGCACACACCACATAAAATATAGCACAGAATAACAAAGCACTCTTTAAAAGGTTGGCCATGTTGCTTATGCCAAAATTAATATACCAAATGAGTACTTAGACTGCTGTTTAAACCTTTTAATGCTGCTTTGATAACGGAAACCATTAATCTTCTTTATCTACAACTAGCTTTCCGCCCGCGGCTTCGCCGGCGTGGTTTGTTATTACAATTCTGATTCTTTTTTGTTATACCACGTTTTATAGTGACTGACGTTTCATGTCAAGTCACACGGGAATGCCGTCGAACGGGACAAAAAGTATCCTTTGTTTTTCTCCTGGCTCTAAACTACCTCCCTGACAATTTTCAGCTAAATCAGTTCAGTCGTTCTTGAGTTATATGTGGAGTAACTAACACGACTTTCTTTTATATGATAGATAGATATAGATTTGGTAATTTGTTGATAAATTATTGCGAACTTAAAAATATATGCATACCTATTTGTTCGTTCGTTCGATTTAGGCCAAATTACTTCCACCGTGGGCCAAAGGCCTCCCCCAAGGGTTTTTACAATGAACTGTCCTGCGCTGCCCTCATCCAGGCTATCCTTTACCAGATCGTTGGTTCACCTTAGTTGGAAGCCTGCCCACGCTACGTCTTCCAGCCCTCATAAGAAGGCTCAAGGTCACCCAAAAGGCGATGAAGCGGGCTATGTTCGGAGTTTCCCTGCGTGATCGAATCAGGAATGAGGAGATCTGCAGGAGAACCAAAGTAACTGACCTATTTGTTATGAAACATTAAATGTGTCAATCAAACGACATAATTTGTACGTTAATATTAATAAATTTTCATCATCATCATCATCAACAGCCCTATACAGTCCACTGCTGGACTATGAGCTTCCTCCACTATAATAGAGGGTTTTGCCATAATCTCCACGCTTGGCAGGCGGATCGCAGTTTATAAGAATGATGTTACCCGTTCTCTCTTTGATGGGTAGTCCCTAAGTCGCCTCTCACGACACCCGCAGGAAGAGTAGGGGTTGGTGACAAATTTATTTTACTCTGCCATCACCACACGGCATTAATAAATTTTAATGATAGGGAAAAATGCGCCACCAAAGTCCAGTATAAACGGATTGACGCGTTGATTTTGAAGAAATTGATTTTTTTAATCAATACTGTATGGTTTATTGTTTACTCTACCTAGTCAAGGTATAATTGCTAATTTTCGATAAATAGTTGCAACAAAAACTGCAAATATTGCAAAAAAAGTTGTTTGAAGTAAAATGGCCAAAATCAAACAAGAAATTACTATGGAAAATATTATGACTTTCGCCCGTTTTCCATATTCAATCCTTGTTCAAATCCAGAATTTAATGTCAAACTGAATTCAGTTTTAAAATAAATATCCACAATATTGTATTTTTTTTAACCAATAACATTTTGCCAGTTAGCGAACGGATTTGGATTAGGATTTAATATAGAAAACCAACATTAGTTGCAATTCCAAAACTGTGAAGGGAAACCAAATGGGTAGGTTAAAAATATAAAAATGCAATTTTAAAATTCAATTTATTTTGCGTCTTTCCTCATACTTAACATGTCACGAACAAACCTAGCTCCAGACTTAATGCCTTCAAAAGTCTCGAATCCAGCTTGTTCTATAAAATCAGGATCAACAAAGAAACCAAATAAACCGGTATCTCCATTGAAAGCTGGTAACTCAAAAGTATATGATAGAGGAATTCCTGCTTCGACGTGAGCATAATCACAGGATCCACCCGATGCTCGATATCCTAAAACATGGAAGATATTTCCAACGACATAGTTAGGTTTGGAGGGCCACTTCACCCTGTCGATAGCTTGGGCCATGTTAACACCTACGACAGCAAGACTGAGTGCATTGGGGGAAAGTTCGCCAATCCCGTAGCCGAATAAGACCATGCTGCCGAAACTGTGGATGTCGATGAAAAGTTCAATGCGATCAGCGTGCTCGTCAAGAATTCGTTTGATGTTCTGAGTCTCTGGTTCGGAGAAGGGTCCAGTGCCGTGGTATTCGTCTGAGCAGAGATTGCTGCTGGAAGCTGTTCCCCACCAGACGTCGAAGTTTCTGTTCAAGTCGACCCCCATGCATAGGTTGATACCATCGCGACGGTTTTTGCGCCAGAAACGGTCCTGGAAATAAAGAACAGAAAAGTTTCAGCATAAAACAGCTTCATATGAAATCTAGATATCTTCCTACAAAAATATTTACATCATCGTGACTGTGTTCATATCCATCAGGGTTTGCAATAGGCATAATAATCCAGTCCATGTCATTGATCAGATCTGAGTCAGTGACGTCAATAACCAGCTTCTCAATTGCATAAAGTGTTGCTGGTAGGGTGACCCACTCCCGGGCATGGAGTAGTGACATTAGGAAAATTACTGGCTTTCTTCTGTCCTGCAAGATTAAGAATTTATTTCATGAAGTCTGTATTAGCAACTTGATTATACTTTACTTCTTCTTGTCCATTTAATTAAATTACCTCAAAGTTGGTGGTGGAGATTTTCAGGTACTTAACATCGCGGCCTAGTAAACTGCTTCCAGCAGATTCAACTTTCACCAGATTGGGGTAAGCATTGCCCAGTCTGACGAGGTAGTCGTCAACCTAAAAAGGTGCATAATTTTAAAGCTTTTAATCATACTTCACTTAAATAGGGTAACATTAGAAAAATAATAAATAAGAATAACGTCATACCACTTGGTATCTATGAATCACATCATACGACAGAGCCTCCATCCTAGAACTGGACCTGTTTCTGCTTTTGGACGCAGCATTTGCCATTAACCTGTCTTCCAGCTCCAGTTGTCTGAAAAGTATTAATATAAAAGAAATCTTAACATCAAGAGCATCTTCCACTTCACTATTGGACCCAAGGTTAAAAATATACGTAATTTATTTTAAGTCAGTGCTGTCGATAATTTTATTGCTACTTATCGTGACGAATTTCGAGAAAGTTTAGGATATTTTTTCTGTAGTGGTTAAGTTTATTTAATGGTAAATCAGTAAAAGATTTATTTGATCAATATTTACTTACTCTCTAATGTTGTGAGATTTGATGCTATATTCTACATCCATAGATGATAATAATTCTTCAAAATGCGCCTTTCGCTCTTTGGAGACGAGGATCTGCCCTGGTCGTTCGGTGTGTCCATGGACAAACACCTGGATAGGGAAGTAGCTTTCAAGTTCATGGAGAAATTTAGTCTGCTCAGCATTCTTCACGATGACTTCGTAAAGGGAGTGTCTGTAAGAATGAACAATGAACATAACATAATTTATTTAAATATCTCAGTAATTTATTACTTATATCCTGTAGCAGTGTTGTACATATCAGACTTTAAGATCATTATGCATTTGACAAGACTCAATCGGACCAACTGATTAACTTTCGGTTTTTTAATATTTGTATTTTTTATACCGGATTTTCCAAAAATTTGAATACATAGCAATCCATTGTCGTACCTATATCAGCTTAACTTAAAATATGTAAAACATTGTATTTACCCTTCATATTGTTCATGTTTTGCACACACCACATAAAAAGTTGCACAAAACAACAACACACTCTCTAAAAGTTTGACCATGTTGCTTTGCCCGAAATGAATATGACAAATGAGTTTAAAGACAGCTGTTTAATCTTATAATACGTACTGTTTTAGATAATCGAAGTTATCAATCTTATTAGTCTACAATTGGGGAGGTAATTAATTGTTGAGATTTGTATCACGAAAAAATCCATATGAAAAACCCGGTGGAAACTTCAAATAAAGTTGCCTACCTAGATTAAAATCAGTTACAAGTAAAACAAACTTAGATAACGTACATTTTATTGATATCACACACTTCAAACTAAAGCCTGGTCCGTGAGCACTGAGCACGTAGTCGCGTTCGCGACTGTGCGACGGGTGCAGTGAGTGTGCGAGCGCGACAGCAACATAATTACGCGCGAGCGATAGGGATGGGTAGCTTGGGGTCATTGGACGGGATTCTACGTGCTCACGGACCAGACTTTAGCAAAAATCACCTCATTATCATTAAGAATCAGAATATTTAATCTCTACTGCAGGAGCACGAGTCTCTTCAATGAACCAGAGGCATATATTATGGAGGATTTGGCTTACACTTCACACACGATGGCCAAACGGGTTAGGGTGGCCTGATTTTTATTATTATGTCCTTTTTTTGTTTTACAACATACACAGGAAGTAAGGAAGTTAATAAATTGCCTGATTTTGTGTTCCCAGACCTCAAAGTAAAGATATCAATATTTATGTAAAAACTTAAAATGGCTACTGCGACACAAACTATGTTTAGTGCAGAAGCCGCTAATCATAAGAATATTCTGTATTAAGATTTATTGGCATTAAACATTTTATTATTAACTAGCGGCCGCCCGCGACTTCGTACGCGTGGATCCCGTTTTATCCCCTTCGTCTATCTCTTACGCGGTTTAGATTTTTTCATACAAATGTTTTTTCCCGCTAACTCCCGTTCCCGTGGGAATTCCTAAGTATACTATAACCTGCCCAGGAGTATGAAGAATAATTGTACCAAGTTTCGTTAAAATCCGTCAAGTAGTTTTTGTTTCTATAAAGAACATACAGAATTACAGATAGATAGACAGACAGACAGGCAAAAGTTTTACTGATTGCATTTTTGGCATCAGTATCGTTCACTAATCACCCCCTGATAGTTATTTTGAAAATGTATTTCATGTACAGAATTGACCTCTCTATAGATTTATTATAAGTATAGATTTATTTATTTAAATTCTTATCTAAGATAGCACATTTATCAACCCGGACCATTCAAGAGGACAGACAGGACAGAGATCCATTAAATATAGACCCCTTTGAGATAACAATAATACAGTAGGATCTGCACACCTAGCTGATAGGCATTATCTCTAGGACTATTGATGCTAACCCTAGGTGTTAGGTCTGCTGCATTACGTGAATGGTATTGGTATTGTTATGTTGTGGATTACTAGTGGCAATAAGTAGAGTTCAAAATGATATTTAGGCGATTATCACACTGCACCGCGCTCCGCGTGGCGA